TCAATGTATGTGTGTCAATGTATGTGTGTCAATGTATGTGTGTCAATAAGCTTAATTCAATATATCAATGGACAGATAAGCACTCTTGATCATCGCAACAGATGTGGAAAAGGCATTTAATAAAACCCAGTATCCCTTCGTGATGAAGTCCCTATGGAGACTAGGCACAGAGGGAACATATTTCAACATGGTAAATACTATCACAACAAGCTGGTAGCCAACAGTCTGCTAAGTGGAGAAAAACTCCAAGGATTTCCATTAAAATTAGAAATGAGTGTCCATTCGCTTCAGTCCCTTTTAATATTGTCTTTGAAGTTTTGGCTACGGCAATAGGAAAAGAGAAGGCAATAAAAGGGCTGTAAAGAGGAAAAGAAGAAATCAAAGTACCCTTCCTCGCAGAGGACATGATGCTAAACATACGAGATCCTAAAGACTCCTCAAGACAACTACGGCTGGCTAACATGCTCAGTAAAGTCACAGGTACAAAATCACTATATAAAGATCATTCCAAGGACAAACATTCCAATAAAGAAATTGGGGGAAAATCCTATTTTTAATAGAACAAAACTAACAACCACAACAACAACAACAACAACAAACCAAAAAAAAAAATCAAACCTCCCACTATGTGGTGATTGCACACACCTTTTTTTTTTTTTTGAAGTACAATGGCACAACAGTTTTAATACAACCACCAGTCTTTTTTTTTTTTTTTTTTTAAATGAAAGATCTGGCTATTCGAGGGACATTTCTGTATTCCTGTGAGGGAGTCAGGAAACTGAGGTTCTTTTTTTTTTTTTTTTTTTTTTAAAACTTTATTTATTTATTATAAGTACACTGTAGCTATCTTCAGACACCCCACAAGAGGGCATCAGATCTCATTGCAGATGGTTGTGAGCCACCATGTGGTTGCTGGGATTTGAACTCATGACCTCTGGAAGAGCAGTCAGTGCTCTTAACCACTGAGCCATCTCACCAGCCCCAACCACCAGTCTTCACAAAATAATTTTAATACTTTGTGCCCAGGCTAGCAGCATCTTGCACTGTGACATTCCTATACATACATAAGCATTTTATCTGGGTACAAATGTTAAAAGTAGAATATCGTAAGCAGTTGCCTACACAGAGGTAAATAGACACGTATGTTACTTTTCTTGAGTCACTTTTGCTGCATAGTAAACTGCAATTACATGTCAGTATCATGTTACTGATTGAGAAAACACTTTGAACTGTGAGGTATGGTAGCTGCCTGTAAGAGAAGCAGAACATGTAAACCTGAATATTTTGAGTGATTTTTTTTTTTTAGCTGCCATGAATGGGAAAGACAAAAGAATTATTCAGCACTCAAGACTCTAGAAACTTATTTTCCTAATTAAAAATAAATAAATAAAATCCGTGCGTAATTCTCAGCTATTTCCTACTATTTCCTCATTGGAGTGTTGTTGCATGGAGAAAGATACTGTAAATATTGAAGTGGAGCTATGCTTTAGGATTGTGGATTTAACCAGTTATTAAAAAAGATCCATCAGGTAACTGCCCATTTACTTTGCATCAAGTTGACATCGTAATATATACATCTCAACTTCATAATTCAAGATTGCACTTAAATACTTCTAATTAATTTGAATTCCATAGTAATTAGACAATTAAAAACCTTTTGTTTTATTACAAAGGACATGCTTAGCTTTTTCTGACATTACCTCTAGACTCAGACTAACTACAACCCTACACCCCTTTCAAATGAAGTCTGCTCTAGAAGCGGTTGAAAGTTGGCAGCGTTATCACACTGGAACATTTATTCCTACCATAGAGTTGGTACAACATCTAACAAACAAGAAACTAACAGGAATCAGTTAAATTAGGAAAAGACTCCCTTCTCCACTCCAGTTTCCAGGAGCTGTCTCAAACTTTCAAAGTGGGGAATAATAAAATTCCCTATGTTTTCATAAAAATGTATAGTTTTAATTATGAGCCCAGCTTACATATTTAATGTTGAAACTGGGTGGACATTCATACATTATTCAAGTTGTCTAGAGAATAAATCATGATTGGATAAGTTTATCATAGTTGACTTACAAAACACTGGAAATGGAACCTAAGACAGCTACTTAGACAGTAAATACAGAGGAATCAAAGAAGCTTGGAGATGTCTTATGAAAAGACAAACCTCGTCTGTCCATATCAACTGGATTGCACACACCTTTAATCCCAGCACTCAAAAGGCAGGAGGATTTCTGTAAGTTTGAAGCCAGCTTGGTCGACAGAGTTAGTGCCAGGCCAGCCAGGGCTACACAAAGGAACCTTGTCTTGAAAAACCAAACCAAACCAAACCAAGCCAAGCCAAGCCAAGCCAAGCCAAGCCAAGCCAAGCCAAGCCAAGCCAAGCCAA